ACCCAAACCCATACCCATGCCCACATCCTTACCTAAACCATAATAAGTCTTGAAACCATAGGAACACCACTTTGCTGAAATTCCTTCCATTAATGATAATTCGATGAATAATGCAAGACTGATAGAACGAAACCTCTTAAAAAGTTGATTTATATTACTAAAACAAAATAATGCTTCTCTACAACGCGTAACGAAACAGAATTGAAAACATTGCACAAAGAAACTCAAGGTAATCATGCTATTCAAGAACATTGGAAAGGAATATGGATCTGGTAATTCTCTTTTATCGATCCATCTATTTACATAATCTATCATTTTCTAAAAGTACACGTCTCAAAGTTTTACAGAGCCTCAGAAAACAGCATACCAGGCCTTAAGCGCATAAAGTGACATAAATAGAGAAAGTCAATCCACTTGATAATATGAAACAGTATTGCATAAGCAAACAATATCATAAAAGCTACCTTCATCGGTGAATCTAATGTTCAAAAAGCTTTCACCGCAATCCGTGCGAAATTAAAATGTGAAACACGATGAAGCCACTTTAAGCGTAATGGAGAGACCTCGTTATATCTATTGCAGTGCATTAGAGACTATGACTCAAAACGTCAAAAGTTTATTCTACTGTTACAGACCGTGACAGACATGTCGACATGCCTGTCACGGTCTGTGGAATGAAGTGTGGAGATTCACTTTCCTCATTCTAAACTTCAACACTCATTTTCAATCGTGTTTTAATGATACTGATCAATGAGTGAATTGTGATGGTAACGAAAATAGCAGCAATAGCAGGCACAACGCTAATGACATTATTGACAGTTAACATAATAATAATAATAACAATAATGTATTATTATCAATAAATATGATCTAAGCGAAAAGAGGAGTTGATGTTGAGAAAAAGAAAGACTTTTTTTTGCGCATTAAATAAACACATGGTTTACGAATGCAAATGTTTCTGACTCCTTTCTCTCTCTGTTTGATGGATTCCACAAGCAAAGAAAAAAATGAATCATAAACGGATGATATGATACTGCTGTCAAAAATGAAAAATCAACAAAAACAAGAATCATAGATCCCTAGCAAAGATTCGTGAGTAATGAATAATCTATGATCATGATCATTTATCATTCAATAGTCAAAACCTTTTCAATCAATTGTTGAATATTTTATTCAAATATTTTCCATATGAATACTGTTTTTCTTCAAAAATAGTCACCCGACCAGAAAATTGCTTCTCCACTCGAATAAGCTGGCTTTATTTTTTCGAACTTATCGTCAGGTAATCGAATGTTACGAAACATCGTGGTTCTGTCCCTTTCAGTATTCACCACGCCACCTCCACACTGTTCTAGATCGTCCAGGCTCATGTATTGTGGCAGGCCACGAAACCAAATGAGTTTTGTTTCTTTGTGTCGTCGATGAATCTCGTCAGCTGCCAGCTTGAACAATTTTCTCTCGATATCGACATTTGGCGCTCGCCACTCGGATATACAAACATTATTTTCATTGGTGGGATTGCTAATGACGGCATAGCCTTGCTCTTCACCGCGTAACATACACACGATAGCCCCTTCTCGTTGCCAGCTCCACCCTACCCAATGTTCAAAAGTAGTGGTTGGTGATCGATCGAATTGATATATGCGAGGTTTATTTGAGTATATTTCGAGTACTAATTGTCCATCTGACAAGAACACATCAGATGCTGTATGCCATTCGTCATTGCTATTCTCAAGATTGAAGTTCTTCCATTCCACACTAACTCGATCCGCTGCACTAACCTGTTTCCATCCAAGAATAGAATAATGTTTGGGTCCTCTTGTGTTTAGAATTGATACATCAAATTTACCGCTCTGTTCCATTTTGTCAATAGCCATTCGAAGGAGATGTCGAGAATAACCTCGCTTGCGATACTCTTCCAAGGTACCCACACATGTGATAGTAGCACATTGATACTCGCTATCATCGTCACGAGATCGAAGTATCAAATGTGCAATATTTACTATACTCACTAATTTTCCATCAAACCATGCACCTAGTGTATCACCTTCTTGGTATCGTGGAGACGCAAGACTTCCAAAATAGCGATCATCCATGCCTGGAAAGGTTCCAAATATGGAATACCACAGGTCGATTGCTTGCTGTTGTTCATGTTTTCTCACAGGATGATAGATAATAGTTGACGTATCGTTGATGGTGGCGGAGGCTGTCATGCTGCAACCTTGTTTTTAAAAAAGAAGTTGAATGACAAACAGTGATATTATCACACAACTACAGAACGGGTAGAGAAGAAAAAGAACGTATAGGTGGCCGTAACAACAACAAACTGATGCAGATAATAACTAGTTCTCTTTGTATTTGATACGTGTTACAAGGTTGATTTCTTTGCTGGCGGTACGTTTTTAGTGTCTAATGAGAATCATGACGTTGCTGTTCTACTCACAATGGAACTGTTTGTCATGTCAGTTGATTTGATTAGCTATATTGGGGTCAAATTATCATCCTCAACGAGAAACTACCAAATTAAAAATATGAGTTGCCAGTGGCGAACCCGGATCGAGATATTCAAATTTTAAGGTATTGANAGTTTTAATAGATTTTTTGACTGAAGATTAATGAATAAGCATTACTGTAAGACATCAGAAAATGCAAAATAACTTTTTCGATAGCCAGATGAAGATGAGCAAGATCAAATTAGTTCTTACAAAACTGTTTTGGTCGACGCCATATGCTTATTAATTAATTTGATATAAATAAAATTGAATATTTGTATTTTCTGATGCTATGGATAAACTGTAAATTCTAAATGAAGATGTAGGTGTGAGTGTGTGGAATAAAAGACAACCAAACCGATACTCACATCCTCAAGATAAGCGACACGCCTAGTTTTTCAGTTTAATTAGTTGTATCGAAATTGTACGCTGGATCTTATATTTATATCATAAGGAATACGTGAAGATCTCCAATCTGTATAGAGCTGCTAGTAATTGACTGTAGTAGTCTCTTAAAAGAATGAAAATTTCTAAGAGACATGATTTTCGAGTTGTTGAAAGTAAATGCTCAATTATAATTTCATCTATCAATGTAAGAAAAAAGTTATGAAAACCTGACAAAAGATTTGTCATTTCATGATTGTTACGATATCTCTTGTATTAGAAGACTATCAAATCACTCAATCCTTTGATTTGAATGGCAATTCAGAGGACATGAAGGCGACCATCATCGATTCATCGTAAGAAGCAATCTTCCAATTAAACCTTATATTCAAGTGATTCTCTCTTTGTCATGCATATACTGATTCAACAAATACTCTATCTATGATTTAGGTGTACTAAATAAAACTGATATTAGACCTTAGTAAATATAGAGTCAAATAACGGTCAATTATTATTCAAAGGAATTTTAAAGACAAGAACTTTTGTCAATAGCGAATTTCAGGATTCTATGATAGCCAGTATCAGTCACATATAAGTTTCCATGTCGATCAAAGGTCAAATGTTCAGGAGTAGTGAGGTTGGCCATCTTATCACTTGCATTCTTTCCACCAATAATGACAGTATCCGATTTAGCACCTTTCGACCAACGTACGATTCGGTTATTCCAATTGTCAGCAATATAGATCGTTCCCATGGCATCGACGACTACCGCAGCGGGTCGTGAAAACTGATCGGCATTATCTCCGATTCCATTTCCACCGGCCACGACAATTCCTTCTTTAGCACCGACGGACAATTTCATCATACGATCATTTTGAAGATTGGCAACAAAAACGGAATGATCTCAATCAACGAATAATTGGGATGGATACGCGAGTTGATCCACATTTTCTCCTTCTCCATTTCCACCAGCAACTACTTGATTAGCTGGCCATTTCAATACATAATGTTCACGAAAATGAAAGACATATAATGACTCTTCTTTGTCCATCGCCACTCCCCAACATGACAAATTCTGTATAATTGTTTGTCCTTGATTATCATTAGGCAAACATTTCTGTACTCGATCGTTTTCTCTATCACAAATGAACATGATTCCTTTCTTATCACTGACAATACTTGACAAATAATTGAATTGATTAGCATTCTGGCCATTTTCATTTCCACCGGCAACTATTTGACCACTTGAAGCTCCAGGCATCCATTTAACTACTCGATGATTGCTACTATCTGCACTATAAAGTACATCATTGTTATCGAGAAATATTCCAGTCGGACTTTTGAATTGATCCAACGCAGATCCATATCCATTTACTCCGGCCACTATAATACCCTTTGGTTCCATGTTGCACTCAAACAAATGCCATCATCAAGCATTGGGGACGAAGCTAGGGAAAGAAAAACGAAAATTGTTAATTCTTCATTTACTTATTGCTTACTTGTTGTCGTCAGTGCTTTAGTCGGACACACAGTAATAGTGGCCATGTCCATTGGATAGCACAATGGATTGCGACTATCACATTGTGGATGCATCACACAAACATGAGCCACTTCAAAACACGTTTGATGATCGCTGAGATACGAGTTCAATTCGGAACAAGAAATATGAAGGTAGCCGCAAATGTCTCCATTGTCAAGAGTCGCTAAAGGAAGACAACCGCATGCAACATTCGATGAACATTCTTCATATTGATTGGCATTTTGACACGTTTGAGTTTCGACTCGATGAGCTTATTAAGGCTACAACGGTCAGATTGAAGTAATTAGAATAAAAGCAACATACCTATTAGACTGACAACAATCACTAGCATATATGATTACTTGATAATTTAACTTAGTAGAGAATCGACACCGCCAACACATACATTGCCTTCATCATTCTACTCTCCACTATGTGCCACGTACACGTCCACATCTATGATGAGATTGAAACCAGCTGGAGAGCAGAATAGTCATCGTCATCGCCTATTGCGCATGTTTTACTTTCTATTTCTTTGGCAACAACCTTGCTTGCAGACATATGAAACGTCATTTTTTCCAAACTGATAAACGACATGCCAGACAATCCTGTATTTTTACACTTCATATAAGAAATGTATTTGTTCCCGATTTGAGTTATTCAAGGATAAGTTTGATTATCTTATTAACAGTTCATTTCTAAGTTGATAAAAATGAGAAACAATCTATAATTGTCAGTCATCACCCTGCATGGCTATTTCTTTCAGTCAACATCCAATGAGTCTTCCATCCGACCCGGAAACACTTATATGTATCGTAGAATTTTTTAGAAAATGATGCGATAGATTTTATTATTCAATGTCTGTCATCGTTTAACAATCGCGGGTGGGGGTGTCGGTGTAGATGAAAAGAAGATTCACACCCGCACCCACACTCTTAAAAACGAAATAGATATTAACAATTTATTCTATAATATATTTGAAAATACACAAGCACAAACAAATTAATTTCATAAGCGGTTCGAAAGTTTTTCCATAAAGTGTTTCCCTACTTTTGGTCCCGTTTGGAAGTATTTCAAACGAGTCGAAAACTATGATTTGGTACTCTTTATGAATATGGGCTGTTTATCGTATATATATTCTATGAATTAATCGGATGATAATAAGACCGGTCGAAAGGTCAAGAAATCAATTATTGCTAACATAATTGAACATTAATCAATGTTTTACATGCGAGAAAAATCAGCAGAAAATATACTAAAAGCTTATAGTCAGTAATTTTTTTTAACAAATACAATATAAATATTATGATTATCAATAGCCAATAGATTTTTGTTTGGTCGCCATTACTATTTCTCTTATGTGGGTGTGGGTGTGAGTGCGATTGTTTTGGGTCTACTCAGACCGACGCCCACCCACACCCACACCCACACCCACACCGTAGTCTTTACGAAATTTCAACGATAGTCTCGACTTACTCGATGGACATTTTCCTCAACTTCATACACTTTATATTAATATATATATACTCACTTCTTCTAATTTAACAATTCATAATAAAGTAGTTTATTTTCGTGAATATTTTATTTCTCTATTGTTTCTATTTGTAGGATAAATTACCAAATTTACGATTTTTTTCTCTACATTGTGATATCGATGTAGATGATTATGATAAACTGATTATACCACTTTTACATAGAATGTTTAATTTAGAAAAACTAGATTTATTGCTTCGAGTATATCGTGAAAAAGGACTGATTGATATGAATGAAATAAAAACGAATATTATTAATTATATGTCACAATAAAATAAATTTACATTTAACATTTTTTCACATAATATTTTACCTATTGAAAATAGTCTGCCATTAAATGAAAATATTGATAATATATTTGAATATTTATATAATAATCAAATAATTTCTTGTATTGATTTTTTTCCAGAAAAACGATATAATCAATGTCTTATTTATTCATATCCATACACATTGGAATTTTATAATAATATATCAAATAAACTCCCAGGTGGTTTATTTAAATATGTACGTGAAGTATTGTTATACGCTGAATATCCTTTTGCACAAGAATTCTTTCTTCGAATTCAAAAATCATTTCCATTGATGAAAAAATTAACTGTGATTAATGAAAAAGCACAAATTAATAAACAATGTATACAATCAAACTATGATACTCAATATTTATCAATTATTGAATATTCTCACCTTACTACACTTGCTCTTAAGGAAGTTCATGATGATTATATGGAACTATTTCTGGATCATACGAAAATGTGTTTGCCAAACAATCTTTTCCTTCGTGTTACGTATCATTCGCTGGAAAGGGTGACACATCATTTTCAAAGAGAAGCAAAAAAAATTAATTGTGCAAAATTGCGTTATTTATCTATATATGGCATATCTTCAATTCCTGAACATGTCAAATACTATTTTCGTAATACAAAGATATATTCTCTTAAATAATCAATCATTGTTTAAATAAAAACATGTAAAAAAAACGATTTACATAGAATAAGTTGGGGCAAATGTATAGAAAACATCGAGCTTGAATGAAATGATTATAACTTTTTTATTTTCCATTATGTCAAAAAATTTTCTTTACAAATCACTTAGCTGAATAAATGTTATGTAGGGTAAGTCAATATTTAATATTGAAATTACAATATTGTTTACAAACTTCTATTACGAATCTATGATTATTGTTCGCATGAAATAATGGCTCCAAAAAGAGTTTCTTAGAATTTGTATCAATTGAAAGGAGATGTAAACATTGCCGATGTCACCTTTCTTATGTCAGTAAGAAGCCTAATTTCCTATTTATCGATCAATAACTGATAGTTTTCGAAGAATGGAATCGTATATTAATCAATCGACTGAAATTATCGAGATCATGATTGAATGATGAAGGGTATGAGTCTTGTTTTAAGTCAAAACTATTTTCCTGTCCACTTTTCAAGGTTAGCAATAGAGATGTTAATATAAACGTTTGAGGTAGATGTTTTTATATGACTAACAGTAAGGGTGTGGGTGTGGGGAGTGTGGGTGTGGGGTGTGTGAGTGTGGGTGTGAGTGTTGGTGTGGGTGTGAGCGTGGGTGTGGGTGTGTGTGTCTGTACGAAGCCTATAGACTAAATCAAACCGACATCCTCACTCACACCCACCCGAACCCATCCACACCCCCACCCACACCCCACACCCCCACACCCTTACACCCACCCACACCCCACACACCCACACCCCACACACCCACCCACACCATTACAGACCTCAGCAACAGGGTATAGAAAACTTCANCATCCAAGAGGAACAAATGAATTAAAAAGAAATACATGTATATAGAACATAATACAGAGGAATTTGGCAGCATCGAACAGTACTAAGCTAAACGTAATCTTCTGTAAACGTACGTACGATAGAAAATGGATAAAAACTAATGATATTTATTTGATAATTTATAACATGGATTTAATATTTTTCTCTTTCTTTTGACATATATGAAAAAAATTACATTTCATTATATGTGGTTAATGTACAATAAATTTAACAAAAAGAATAAAAAATATGTCCTAAGAAAAGATAAAACCAATGAATGATCATGTCAAACATTAGTAATCGTTGGAAGAAACCAAATGATATTAATGATGTTTTTTTCCTTTGTCCTAATGACAAGGTTCATTGAAATATCTGTTTCGAACCGCCATATCACTATTGTTCGTAGTCTTGAATTTGGAATACAATTGACTTTGTTTTTCGGTACTTAAACATGTATGTTCTAATACATGATTTATTTCATTCATGTCTTTTGACATTTGACTTTTATAATGAAGTTCAAGATGATGCGAAACATGAAGTGTTGCACAATGAACTGGAGCTGGAACATATATAGCTTTTGTACATCGAACATCAATATGACATAAATAATATCTTTTCAAATTTCAAAACAAAAACATAATAACTTCTTTTTTCTTTATTTTCAAATCAAAATTCTTACGTTAATTGTTGAATATCATCTAATGTAAAACCAATTTCATCATATAATACTTTATAAAGCATTGGTCGTGATGTACCTTGAATAGTTGCATCAGAATTAAGATAAAACTCAAAACCATTTAGTGAAACAATATCGGTATCAAGAACTGTTCCTACAATCAACAAAAACAAATATTCAAACAAAAAAGTAAAATAAAATCCATTTAACCTGGTTGAATATTATTCGCTTGATTAGATTGTTTATCCCATGTAAAAAAAACATGTATGATGACGTTTTTTAACAACAACAAAACAAATTTGAGGTAATTGATTATGATCATATAATTCTATAGAAGAAAAGAATTTTTTTATTTGATTCGGTCTTTGAACAATCGTATTTACCTTGACATGCTCGTTGAATAGCTCGTAATTCGTTATCAAGCATTTTTTCAAATGATCCATCATCAAGACCAACTTGATAAAAAACAAGTTTATTTGGTAAACATGAATTATGATTTGAAAATACACGTATTAATTCAACAACATATTTATGAAGATCATTTATGATTGCAAATGCGATTTTTTCTTTTTGTGGAAATTGTTGTAAAATACGAGCAGCATATTGTGTATTTGTAGAATCTTTTGATCCAACAACAGCAACAATGGATGGTCGTACATGTGAACATGTTATATGAGTACAATCAATACCAAAAAACATAAATATATTAGATCGAGCTAATGGTGATATTAATGCTGGCATTAATGAAACAAGTTGATTAACACCACGTAATCTGGCATTGAATTTTTCTACCAAATTCTTTTAAGAAATTTGTTTAATAGAATTAAATAAAAAAATAAATAAAAAGAATTTACTTGAATATACATATCCATTTCATGCGGATCACTATTTGACATAAGTTGATCGAAACGTATACACTGAGTTACCATACCTTAAAAAGAATTTTTTTTTTTCATAATCAAAATATGAAAACGAAGGAAAGAAACTGAGCATGTATCATTTAAATCAATAGGTTATTTACCACAAGATCACTATGAAATTATTGCATCATGATTAGAATCCGTCAGGTAAGATCAGGACTCGATTGGCTCTCACTCGGATTCGAATCCGAAAATTTTAAATTTGACGCCCTTCGTTAGAAGTACAAGGCAATTCTAACTTGATTATTATAGGATCAACGGTTCAATTGCCTGATAAATATGTAAAATGTGTTATTCACCAATACAAACAGGGGGAAAATCATTTCATGCATGCAAAGCGACTATCAGATTCAGATAAGAATAAACCTCCTTGAAAGTATTAAAAGTGGAACTCAGATCCGGATCCGAGTTTGAAAGATGATCAATAAATGGAATCTGGGTCCGAGTTCAAATATATACTTGTTATTCTCTTTCTTCATCAGTTATGAATATAGTCAAGCGATAGTTCATTACTAAGATGTCGGTCGTGGCCTATGGAAGAAATCCAATATTTATCCTTATACTTCAATATTCTGTTACTTNATAATAGTTTAACGGAGAGCAAACATTTTCTTTACTGGCAAATAGATCGTGCAATGTGTGTGCCGTTACGTCATAAAAGGGTTTTGTATTGAAATACGCATTATAGGATAGTATAAACAAATAATCGTATTGTTTAGTTCATAAGCAAACTTCCATTCAATGAATTAAAGCCGCTTTAAGTTTTCATTTATGCAGTTATATGTTGTCCTAGATCCTAGTTTAACATCAAAAACTCAAAAATTGTCAACAAAATGGGATAAGTCACTATCAACATGTTCGACTTAACTGAATGATGAAGTCATTTATGATATCAATTCATTTGATATATCTCCGTTCTCGAATTCAACCTCTGCGGAGAGAAAATGTACATTCGAAAGTATTGTAGAACAGGGAGCTTGGAATTGGCACATCATAAAATTAGGTGAACAACTTGTTTATAAGTACTTGAAACTGAAATTTAGTAATCATTTGGATTTTGTATCGATTAAATGGGAAAACAAAGATACAGACGTTAATTTGCCGTATGATATTCTATTGATTGAAAATGGTGAAGTTCGTTTTATTGAAGTTCAAACAACACAATCATATAATCAGCAAACAATTCAATTAACAGTTTCTCAAATAGAAGAAATTTTCAAACATGAAAAAAATTACTCTATTTAGCGTGTATATCTTAAAGAGAAAAGAATTGAAATTTTAGATGATATTCAATGGCGTTTGAAACACAGACAGCAGTTGGCTTGTTTTATAACAAAAAAAAACGTTATTATCTGATAATTCCTTTCCAGTTGATAGATGAAACAAAACCAAACGACACAGACTAACCCCTGTCATATGTATTACTTCGCTTTTAAGAGTTTTTAATTTTCAAAACACTATATTCCCTTAACCAAAATAAAATGTTGTCTCTTGTTTCTTGATTGTTTGTGAGCTCTACTATCTTGTGATCTCAAATTAATATCACAAGTACATCGATTTGTACATGCTGAGAAGACTGCACACGTGTATCATCTATTCATGTGTGATGGGTGGATGTGAATGAGGGCAACACTCACACCCATCTCTGCCATATTTTGACTACATGAACTAATTTCGGTACCACTGATAAAGGAGTGCTCATAGTTTATGTTCATAGGAAAAATATTGACAAAAACTGCATCTAAGTATTATTGTTGACTTCAATAAAGAACTGTAATCTTTCAAAAGTTATGGAAAAACAATATAATTGCTATCGTGACCAAAAGTAAACCATAAATTATTTTCTTCTATTCAGTCTTCGCACTATTACCATTTGGTATGAAATTTATACCATAGATATATGTCTTATTACTTGTTGTATCTTGAAATTTTCCGACATAAACAACTGAAATTTGTTGAAAAAACTGCCATGTGATTTTTTTCATAACTCGTAGAAATTTAGTTCTTTTTTTAAGTCAATAATGATATTTCAATACAGTGTTTGTCATTTTTTTTTGTTATGAACATAACCTATGCACACTTCTTTATCATTGGCAAAAGAATCATCTCATTTAGTCAAAATATGGCATAGATAATAATTTTTTTTTATTAAAGTGACTATTAAGAAACCGTGTACATATACGTGATTATCATTCAAGTTAGAATCACATGTAACAAACCATTTTGCTTCTATGAACTAAAAGTCTACCAAAAACATCTCGATTAAAATTCTTTAATTTTTATGGGTAAATCATATAAAGTAAAGAAAATTTAAAAACTAGCTAATTATGATATATATTTTTTTGAATGAAACTTTTCAATTTATATAACCATTGATATAACCATTTTTCATCATGAATCGTATCAACATGATCTGTTACTTCTACGTAATTGTTTCAATCGAATTAATAATGTCAAATGTCCAAATCAAATTTAAATTGACTTCAGTTCTCAAGCGTTCCAAATGTGTATTATTGATGTGAATAACAAGAAAAGAACGGCTCATAAATATTGAATGATTCCATATTGTTTTTTTGTGAATTGAACATTCTAAATTATGGATATTCATCCTATGAAATTCGTAATGTTCGATAATTGATTTTCATATGGCCAATGTTTAACATACGTATTCTTTCAAAAATGAACTTTAAATATCCTATATATAATGTTTTAATGTTTTGATCTCAAATAATATTGTATTGCAAATTCGTTTTATTTTATCATTACCAGGGTGGGGTCCATGTCGGGGTCTAAAAATATTCTTTTACCGGGACCGGGTCCAAAAATCTTGAACCCGATGGGCTCTAGTGTTGGTGACTGTGGATGTAGAATGTTTGTGTAATTGAAGAGATGGTTCCTATCCACATATCCTTATTTCATTGAAGGTGAGCAATTGCTACTGATGAATTCGAAAGTGATGCTTAGCCTCTTGATTACGGCGTTGAATGCACCGAAAATATTTCATCAAAAACAACATGGATATTTGAATTACAAAAAAGTGTAACCCACTGTCGCTGACAGTACTCGACTTCATACGTCTCAGTACGTCGTACGAAAAGGAATGAATAATATTGTTATACAATGTTATCTTTCGTCGCCAAAATGTTTCGAACGAACAAAAGGGAAATCTTTTTATGTTGATGTATGTTAAACTTTACGTGAAGGGCAGCAAAACATCAATGTGTCATATAATACTCAATAACGACTAGAAAACTTAATATGCAGTATCATATGAATTACATCTTCTAATCCATTTGAAAGGTTTTTTATGTATACATATACATGTGTGCTTGTCGTTTGTTGATCGAAAGATAAAGTAGACTACATTATGCAAATGTCTACGGTTATATAGTCATTGCTAAAGAAGTATCAATCATATCAAAGGTATGTATCAATCTCCGAAAGAATATTGAACGCACAATTTATATATGTATATATATATTTATATATGATCTACGTAAGATTGAACTAAACCAATATCGAACTGAAAGATAAGTAACGCCGAGTGTCACATTGATTTAGGTCAATGCACGACTGAAATCGAAGCATCGTTAATACATTCCGCTATAGATCTATTAGTTGGGTGTATGGAACTTGACGAGTACAAGCTGAACTAAAATAGTGTTGGAGAATATTGAGCCACAATTCATGTAAAATTCACCATCACTAAAGCAACCGTTCAGGTATTATTTGAAGGTACGGCTTCATCTCTCTGAATGCCACTTATTGGTAGTTGCATCACTTAAATTCGTAATCTCCCTCTTCTCAAATATTTTTCATGCACGATTTCTTTCATCGCCTACATCTTATTATTCAGTCATTCCGACACTATCCATACTTATCTTTCAGGCCGATATCGGATTAATCCAATTTTAGATTCGCTTAACAATTTCAGACCTATCCCAGATTCGACATGCTTTCTATAATTAATTCGAAATTGAACGTAATCTCAGTTTGGACTGATATATTTTTGCAATTTCGCTTTCTTTTAAAATTGTTTTGGATCTTTGGTTCCTCGGTAATAAAAGTAGGTCATTTATCACAATGTAAATTTCCTTGCTTTAAGCCCTTCCTATTGAACGAGCTATTTGCAGAATTGCAGTTTTAACGAGAGACTATACTTGAAATAAGTATATACGTATTTCGGATCAGATACATGAAGTTTATAATGTCTCAAATTGAATTATTAAAACTCTGTACGAAGGATGTACACCGTAAGATCATGGCAATGAGACAATTTTTGAACAAGATTTAATAGATATACGAAGCAAGTTTGAAAACTTTCTTCGGTTATCTCAACCAAAAGAATTCGAACTTTCATGAAACCGATACGGGCAAGAACAATGTATCTGAGAGTGTGAGCGAAAATTTCACAGGATTCATTGACGTTAGTACGATAGAATAGAGAACATACTGACTCTGAAACTGCGATTACGTATCCTGAATCCTAAGAGTACCTGGTTCTGATTCATACCTGTATTATCAGAATCAAATTTCATTGCTCTTTTGATTTACTTGCAGGATCTTTCTGTACAGATACTTTCATAAAAATCTATATTTTTCATATTTAACAGTTCTAACTTTCCTGTTCAAAAATATGTATGCATTAACAGAGAGAACTTGCAGTGTTTTTTTTGATCAAAGTTTTAGATATTAAATTTCTCGAAAAATGAATCATTTGTATTGGCTAATCTATTTGTGTTCTCATAATCTCACTGGTAATCCTTTTTAACTGAAGTTCTATTAGATTTACTAAGGTTCGTATAATATCGCTGATCAATATTTTCTTTATGCATTACTGATGCTAGTAAAAAATATGACTTTCCATCTTTTCGATACTGGAGATTTTTCACCAACTAACCTTCAATAACGTATCTGAGCATCGTAGTCAATGATCGAGTCTGATTGTAAGGTACACTTACACCTCCTCTTGTTTTTAGATTGAAACGAATAATGATAGTGAACTTGTT